CGTTTGGGTAATTATACCACCCCTTCAACTAGTATTATCTACAGGTTACCCCTCCAGAGTAAATTAAGGATTTCAAATCGGTAAATCGAACCGAAATTTCGGTACGCCAACAATTCAACCGTTTAAAGAACTGAATATACGATTTGGTAAATAACCGAATTATATAAATTAAAGGTAAAATTGTTTAAAATGAAGAGTGACTGTAATTACCCAAATAAAAGAGGTTTTTTTTGTAATTTGACCATATATCGGGGATTGACCGTAATTTGCCCAAAAAATGATCTTAATAAAAAATGACAGTTGAAGATTAAAAGTAAATGCCAAAATTGAAAGTACAAATTGAGTGGGATTGGATCTAGATCTAAATCGAGTATGTAAAAATAAATAAATAAATAAATATATAATAAATAAATATGTCTAAATCTTGATCTGTGACAGTATTGATTTATATAATCTTTTATTCTCTCCACCGGTAAAACTCCAATATTTTATCGTTGATGTTTAATACTTTAATTAAATAATCTGTAATAAAAATATTAACTGGTTAAACATTTTAATATAACCTATATAACAATTTCATTTTATTTTTTAATCTCTAATTTATAATGTAATTTTGGATAATTACTTACTTCTAATAAATTTTAATCTTGAATTTATTTTTATAAATGTATGAAATAATATATTGTAAAATAAATTTTGATAAAAATAATTGTAAAAAAAAATGTAATTAAGCTCTTAATTATTTAAAAAAATAACATCACCAAGAAAAAAATATTTCATTATAATTGTATTAAACTTATTATTTATATTTGAATATATTGTTCAATAGTTTTATCAATTCACTAGCAAAGTTAGAAATTTAAGTTTATGAAGATCGAATGTATTAAAACTCCTATAAAGGAAGCTGATAATTGTAATTATACACAAATTCTTTCAAATATTTATACACAAAATAAGAATTTGAGAATTATTGGAGGGGCGATAGCCCCCTTCGGCTCTATGCCGACTCCGTCACCGCATCAGTTCCTTTTTTTGTATGTCTTCATAAATGGATGCCCATTTTGACTTATTGATGGCACGTAGTAATCAAATGAAGTCTAAATTTAGTACATAAAAAAGATATTGTTTTGTGTTTTCATATATATAAAATATATTATTTTTTTAAAAATTGTAAGTAAATCGTGGGATCACGTGATGTCGCGTGACAGCAGGTTAATGTTAGAGAATATAATTTGGATTTGTTAACACATGTTGCGTGGCTCGTGACTTTTGGCATGCAATTTTTTTAACATTATATTTTACTTAAATTATCTTACAAGTATGTCTATTAGGGAATCTAATCACGAGACCCATTGGGTTTTTGCACATGATCATACACCATAAAAAAGAATTACATAATTGCCAATTTTTAACTAATTTATATAGTTAATTCAAAATTAAATAAAACTCATCATTGCGACAGTTCTTGTGTGATTTGCAGGCTATTGTACGAAGAATTAAGTTGTTACGAGTTCTTTTGTAAGAAAATAAATAGGAATTTATACTTTAGGAAAATTACGTACGTACAAATTTTGTCTTAGTAATTTATTTATAAGTATAAATTGAATATATTTTTTAATAAATTACAAATTTATCCATTGTCATTTTCTTTT